CGGAGATTGCACAGTGTACAACAGATATTATACGCAAATATAAAAAGACCACGGTTTATAGAACGGCAAGTAACACAACCCAAATACTTAGCTTCCATAGCAACCACTAAACGGCGCACAAACGCGGTTGTATTTTAAGACTCTTTTGGAGCGTAAAAGCATAATGCAGTGCAACTCAGGGACGAGTGCGTCGTCGGGACTGTTCTTGTCAGAGCAGACCGGTTGACGACTTAGCGCTCGAATAACGGAGCATAAGCGGGCAGTGCGGAAAGACGACCCACTGTCCCAGTTCGCTACCCACACTCTAGAACAAGGCCAGGAATTGCACTTTACGGCACGCGGATAATCGCACGCGCCGCTACTAAGACGGATCGAGAACTACTGGGGGCGTGGGTATCAGACTCCAATTTCGTCAACAGGCATGTGGACATTTCGCCCTGCTATTTTTCCTCCTCTCGTGCGACCAACGAGCACGGCCAGGCATGCACGCTGCTACGTCAAGGACTCACGACACTGTGCAAAGGCTGCACGCCATAACACCAAGGACGCGCGCAGAGATGATACCGTGAGTCTGCGTGGGCGTGGATGAATCACGACTGATAAACCCTCACCCATCCCTCCATTTACTCGTAGCTGGACTTCAAAAAGATGCCAATGCTTGCTGTCCTTTGATTTTCCCTGAAGATGGCCTCTTGTGGGCAGGCGAAAGCTTAGACTAATACAACTGCTCTTCCAGTGATCGCGCCTTTGTCTTCTTTGTATATTGGATTTAATATTTGAGAATGAAGTCCAATCTCTCTATTAATTCTCATAATAATGATGCTTCCGTTCATTTTTGCCTTCTGCTCTCTTCTTCTGCAAAGTCTGAGGTAAAACCTAACTGCATCCATTTTGCTCATATGAATACAGAATTAGTAAATAATGTTACAAGCACTTAAGATTGGCACAGCTTATATTCAACTAATGATTCGAACTATTTCTGCGATCTATTGCAAAGCCTGACGGCAAGAATCCATATTTTTATCCCCCACAAGCAGCTTAAATAAAATACTGCTTCTTTCACTGTTCCACATTTTCTTTAAAACCGACTCAAAAAATTACGAAAGTAGTTTAAGGCTCTGTCTAGCAGTTCATTATCAATTCATTTAAGGACAGTATAACTATATCAATTAGCTGAAAAGACTAGGCTCACGCGAGGTGGGCCTGGGTAGTCTCTAGTAATTTTTGATGGTAATTCTTGCTGATCTGTTGCTCAAGTCTTCCGTATTCAGTTGTCTGCTAAGAAATTCGTTCAACCTTTACTCTGTGGTAGCTCTAAAGAACAATGATTTTTCAGTACTTAGTCAAGCGGGAACAGTTTTGCAAAGCATGCGAGCAAACATGCAAGCGATTATTTAGTATCTTTTACATTTACGGGTTGGAACCATCGTTGGCTTTTTTTATAGGTGATGATGTCTGACAGGCCCTACTGCATCTAAACGGTGGGATGGAGATCACAGGCTGAAGTCTCATTTTTTTTTCTTATTTCGTTCCAGACGTATGTACTGCTGCATGCTTACGGTAAAAGGTGTGCTTATAGTACTTGGATCTTTTGAATTCGCACTGGTTGTACTGCGCTCATTATTGAATATTTAGTACATTTATCTGTATATATCTCACCTGCTCCGTACAATGTCTTATTTCTCCATCTCCATGTATCTTTTGCTGTCCCTCGTTGGTGCAAAACAGTCTACATCTATGCTATTGGAGAAGACCCTTCTGTCGGCACCCGCACGAAAGTGGATAAATTTGATACGCGCAAACGCCAATGGAGCGAATGTGCAGCCATTTTAACTGATCGAACACACTATGCGGCAGTCGCCGTCCCGGTGGATGAAGAAGGTGTGATCTGCGTGTGCGGTGGAGAAATAAAAGTTAACTTTCAATCAGAGACCTCGGAAACCTGTGAGCTCTATTTGCCTCAGGAGGACAGGTGAGTAGATGCAGCGTCATCGTATGTTACCCGGTGAAACCAACTTAAATCTAAAAAAAATGCTTTTTGCGCAAATATTGGTCGTCAGTCAGTCAGTCAGTCAGTCATTCCTAGCTCGTTTCTTTTCCGCAGTTACGCTCCTCTGTTTTTTTCATACGTTATGTGCAAAATGCGGTCCACAGTTGAGACTTCTTAATAAAAATCTTCTGCTGTCTTACTTGTACTTGTTACGGCTGCGATCATGACTGATCTAGCCGGCCTCAACTTTGTCCCGTATAGTGCTCATTCACGCACGACGATCCGTGGCCGCAGACCTGGGCAGTTCGACCCATTCTCTTCACCAGCGCCGGGGACCGAATACCGAAGGTCCAAGAACCACTTCAATGTCCTAACAGACTGAGTCGAGCCAGGTTTTGAGTTGACCCCCTCTTCGAAGTTTCCAATTAGGCAACGGTTTCAAGTCGAGAGCAGTAGCACTGAACTCTTGGGGTTGGTGACGAAGAACTTGTCCAAACCACTTCAGCCGTCTTCCCTGAATGACCTGGGATATCCTTGTGATTTTGTCACAGCGAGTGCGGACTGTCTTATTTTAGACGAAGTCGTTTTACTTCACTCGAAGGATGTCCCTCAGACAGTAGTAGTCAAAGACTTCCAGTTTCTGTTCATCTTTCATGCGCATAGTCCAACATTCGCATCTTTATAGGAGGACGTACCGCACAGATGCACAGTACACGCGGATCTTACTTGAGATAGAAATATCGCGTCGTGTCCATAAGCACTTCCGAAGGCTGGGTTACCCGTTAGCCTAGCTGCTGGCTACCCGGCGCGTCCACGGGTGGCGG